ATTTATTCTTCCTATCCATGAGCATGGAATGTTTTTCCATTTCTTTGTGTCTTCTTCAATTTCCTTCATAAGTTTTCTGTAGTTTTCATCATACAGATCTCTTGTATCCTTGGTTAGGTTTATTCCTAGGTATTTTATGGTTTTTTTGTGCAACTGTGAATGGGATCAGTGTCTTGATTTCTCTTTCTGTTGCTTCATTGTTGGTGTATAAAAATGTAACCGATTTCTGTACGTTGATTTTGTACCCTGTAACTTGGCTGAATTCTTGGATCAGTTCTAGTAGGCTTCTGGTGGAGTCTGTCGGGTTTTCTATGTAGAGTATCATGTCGTCTGCGAAAAGTGAAAGTTTGACTTCCTCTTTGCCAATTCTGATGCCTTTGATTTCCTTTTGGTGGCTGATGGGTGATGCTAGGACTTCCAGCACTATCTTAAACAGCAATGGTGAGAGTGGACATCCCTGTCGTGTTCCTGATCTCAGGGGGAAAGTTCTCAGTTTTTCCCCATTGAGGATGATGGCTTCTCATAGCTGAGGGCTTCTCATAGCTGAGGGCTTCTCATAGATGGCTTTTATGATGTTTAAGTAGGTTCCTTCTATCCCAACTTTCTCGAGAGTCTTTATTAAGAAGGGATGTTGTATTTTGTCAAATGCTTTTTCTGCATCTATTGACAGGATCATATGGTTTTTATCTTTTCTTTTGTTGATGTATCACATTGATTGATTTGCTAATGTTGAACCAGCCCTGTAACCCAGGAGTGAATCCCACTTCATCTTGGTGGATAATTCTTTTTATGTGCTGTTGGATTCGATTTGCAAGGATCTTGTTGAGGATTTTTACATCTGTATTCATCAAGGATATTGGCCTGTAGTTCTCTTTTATTGCTGGATCTCTGTCTGGCTTGGGAATCAGAGTGATGCTGGCTTCATGAAATGAGTCCGGGAGTTTTCCTTCGATTTCTATTTTTTGGAATAGCTTGAGAAGAATTGGGATTAATTCTGTTTTAAATGTCTGGTGGAATTACCCAGGGAAGCCATAGGTCCAGGGCTCTTATTTGTTGGGAGATTTTTGATCACTGATTCAATTTCTTCACTCGTTATGGGTCTGTTCAGATTTTCTATCTCTTCCCGTGTGAATTTTGGTAGTGTGTGTGTGTTTAGGAATTTGCCAATTTCTTCCAAGTTGTCCAATAGGTTGGCATATAACTTTTCATAGTATTCCCTGATAATTGCTTGTATTTCTGAGGGGTTGGTTGTAATAAGTCCATTTTCATTCATGATTTTGTCCATTTGGGTGCTCTCTCTTTTCTTTTTGAGAAGCCTGGCTAGAGGTTTGTCAATTTTGTTTATTTTTTCAAAAAACCAACTCTTGGTTTCATTGATCTGTTGTTTCTTTGGTCTCTATGTTGTTTATTTCTGCTCTGATTTTTACTATTTCTCTTCTACTGGGCTTAGGGCGTTCTTGTTGCTCTGCCTCTAGTTCCTTTAAGTGAGCTGTTAGATTTTGTACTTGCGCTTTTTCTAATTTCTTGAAATAGGCCTGGAGTGCAATGTACTTTCCTCTTAGGACTGCCTTTGCCGCATCCCATAGATTTTGGATTGTTGTGTTTTTATTTTCATTTGTTTCCATATATTTTTTAATTTCTTCTCTAATTGCCTGATTGGCCCATTCATTCTTTAGTAGGGTGTTCTTTAACCTCCATGTTTTTGTAGTTTTTCCAGGCTTCTTCCTGTGATTGATTTCAAGTTTCAAAGCATTATGATCTGAGAGTGTGCATGGTATGATATCAATTCTTTTATATTTATTGAGGGCTGCTTTATGTCTCAGTATGTGATCTATCTTGGAGAATGTGCCATGCGTACTTGAGAAGAAAGTAAATTCCCTGGCCTCGGGATATAGAGTTCTAAATAAATCTGTCACATCCATCTGGTCCAATGTGTCTTTCAAGTCCATTATTTCTTTAGTGATTTTCTGTCTGGTTGACAGGAGAGTATTAAAGTCTCCTGCTATTAGCACATTCTTATCTATAAGCTTGTTTCTGTTTCTGATTGTTTTAAATATTTAGGTGCTTCCATATTCGGTGCATAGACATTTATGATTGTTAGTTCTTCCTGAGGGATAAACCCTGTAATTATTATGTAGTGCCCTTCTTCATCTCTTGTTATTGTCTTTAATTTAAAGTCCAGTTTGTCTGGACTTTGTTTACTTACTTCTGCTTGCTCTGAGTGTATTTTGCTTTCTTTCCCTAATTTATTGAGGTGGAAGTTTCTATCATTAACTTGGGACTTTTTCATTAATAATATAAGCAATTAATACTATAAATTTCCATTAAAGCACTGCTTTAGGTGCATTCCACCAATTTTTGATATGTTGTATTTTCATTTTCTTTCAGTTCAAAATATTTTTTTTCCAACTTCCTCTTTGGTCGATGGTTTCCAGAGAAGTGTGTGTTGCTTAATTTCCCAATGTTTATAGAGATTTCCTGTCATATTTCTGTTACTTATAGTTTAATTTCATGATGATCAGAATACATACTCTGCATTATTTCAATTCTTTTAAAATTGCAAATTGTGTATTTTGGTGAAGGTTCTGTGTGCACTGCTCTTATTAGGGGGCGTGTTCTATAAATGTCAACTAGATCTAGTTGGTAGATAGTGGCTTACAGTTCTTTACTGATTTTCTGTCTTTGTGTCCTATTGATTAGTGAGGGTGTATGTGGTAGATTACTGGGAATCTGGGAATCCCTATTTCATGTGTCAGAGTCCCATTCTTTTCTAATAAGAGCTATGGTCGTGGTATAGCAGTTCTGTCTTGGTTGAGAGTCTGACCTTCCTGGAGCTCAAATCTGAAAATTGGACCTTGATCCTAGTATTCACTTTTCTCGCTCTTCCACTGAATAAAATGAGAGTTCCATTATATGTGATCAAGAAGGTCCTTTCACCCTCACAGTTGGCTTTCAATCTCCTACTATTAACTCTCAACCTTTTATCTTATAAAGAAAGGAGCTTAACAATAGTCTCACAATGCCATTGTTGTTATGGTTGCTATTTTCCCCATATTTCTTGATCCCTTCATATGTTCCATCAGTCAGTGCATTCTTTTACTGACATATCATCCCATTTCACCACTGGTGAAAAATTTAACAACTGGACAACTACTTTGTGCCAGAGACTATCTGTGTTTCTTTTGCCACCAGTAACGTGGACCTCATTGACAGCTGAGCAGAGAATCACCATTCCTAAAATCCCATCTTCTTATATACTTTCTCAGAACTCTCAGAGCAGTGAAAAATAGGGGAAGACTTTATAAATCAAATATTGTCATAATACTACCATGAAATCTCTCTCCATAATCATTATACTTTTTCATACCTGAAAAAGGGTTCAGGGACTATTGTCCCAAACTAAGAAAGTTAGGGCAGAAAAAAGTGACAAGATAACCTCCTGGGCACAAGAAAAAAAACCAAAACCTCCTGTTTTCTATGCTGATCAGAAACTTAAATTTCTTTTTGTTGTCCTTTTTTGAACCAGACACCTTCTGATTGGAGTAGTAAAATTCGTATGGGCTTTGGTGTGAAAGTAGGTAGAACAGGATTTTTAGGTTCTTATGTTGTTCTATTCATTAATTAGTAACTAAACAGGATGCTAAAACTCTGGGTAAATGCTATTCATCCTAATCAAAATTTCAGGTAGCAGAAGAGACCATATGGTCTCAAGATATCCTCCTTTGTGCACAGTAAAGAGATGCAGGCTCTGAGAAATTTATGGCCAAGATCTAGAGCCACCTCAGAATAGCACATAGAGGCAGAATTGAAATAAATGAAGAAAGGTTACAAAGAGACAAATATAGAGGTTTTCTGCCTCAAGAGGTTCAAGTATAGACCAGAAGGGATTGAACTACTGAATGGATGGACCATTAAAATAATTTTTAAAATCCTAAGCAAACACTGAGATTATGTGAAATCATGAGAGCTATGTAAAGCAGCAATTAATAATCTGACTGGTAGAAACCACAAAGCCCTAAAATCCTAGACAGTTTTTAAAGTCAGTTCCATAATTACAAACCAATACATCTCAAAGAGGGTATGTTCACAAAACGGTGCTTTCTAGTATAGTCAATCAATTACAAATGAAATTTATCCTTATTTGTACAAGATTCAGAGTTTAAGAACCTGAAACTGAATAAATTCAAAAATAAGAAAACTTCATGTAAAAAACAAAAGCTAGATTTCTCTTTAGGCCTTCCACATTAAAATAACATTAGAAAGGATGAAAACAAACAAACAAAAAAAAGAAACTGAACTAAAATGAAAGACTTGTGATGCATATTAGTTCCAGTTAGATCTTGATATAATTGAGTGGTATTTTCTTTATGTAACTTTTCTTTTTATAGAGGTAGGAATATGTAGATTCATACATTTTAATATGGCTTAATAGTGAGCTTTCTTAGAGTTGTATTTAAAGTCTATGTCAGTTACTCACCTTGCCTTTTGTGAATATGTTGTGGACATTAGATATAATTTTATGAAACACAAAGTTTTTCAAGCTCCAGGATGTAGTCTCCACACACAAAAGCAAAAGGAGATACAATAAGCCCAAGACAGCCAATGCAATCAAAAATTGTGCAATCCCATATTCTCCAAAACTATAGATATTGTTCTCAATAGCTGAGGATGATAAAAGAGATAGCCTTACTTTAAAAACTGATATGAAGTCTAAACAACACTAAAGTTAAGAAATATAAATCAAAAAGAGTTTTAAGTTAGATTTTAAAAAGTATAGAGTGATTATCTTAATATTTTATTCATCTGTTTTGATTTTTCTGGATATTTATGGTTTTTATAAAAGTTCTCCTGCCAAGTGATTTTTTTCCTCTAGTTTTTACCAGTTTGGATGGGAGACAACATTACCACACATTCAATGAATTTTAAAGGCTGAGCCTCCATGAACAGAATGCTTAGTAATTAAATAAAGCAAACAAAATGAAGGTATTTGGTATATCTAACCATTCTTGTAAGCCATTCCAAATAATTAAAGTCATTTAAAGTGAGAAAAATTCTTATTCTATAAATAGGTAAAAGTTTAGGTAGGACTAATCTCACTTAGCATCGTGTGCTTAAGTTTGACCCATGTTGTCTCAAATGGGAGGATATCTTGTTTCCATGAATGAATAACATTCTATTGTGTTTATCTACCATATCATTTGGGTTGTTTTCATATCTTGGCTGTTGTGAATAATGCTGTGATATATACATGCAAGTGCATATTTCTTGTCAAATTCTGTTTTCATTTCCTTTTGGCATTTACCTAGAAGTGGAATTTCTGGATCATACAGTAGGTCTATTTTTAGCTTTTTGAAGAACCTCCATATTATTTTCCATAGTGGTTGGTTTAATTTACATTCCCACCAACAATGTATAAATGTTTCCTTTTACCACATCTTTGCCGGGACCTGTTGTCTTCTATCTTCTTGATAATAGCCATTCTAATAGATATGAAGTGATATTTCATTGTGGTTTTGATTTGCATCTCCCTGATGATTATTGATTTTGAGCATCTTCTCATATGCCTGTTGGTCATTTTGATGTCCTCTTTACAAAGATGTCTGTTATGTTTTTCTGCCCATTTAAAACATTAGATTGTTCCTTTTGTTACTAAATTTCCTATATTTTTTAAAATATTAACCTATTATCTGATATATGGTTTGCAAAAATTTTCTACCATCTTCTAGGTTGTTCTTACATTTTGTAATATAGTATAACCCTAATACTGTGAACATAGGCATTAACACTAAGTAAAGCAAAAGCAGGAACAAATTATAAAAAGAAGATCTTAAAAATGAACAAAATAGAAATTTTAAAATTTAAATATTAAATTTCAAATAGGGGTGCCTGGGTGGCTCAGTTGGTTAAGTGATCAACTTCAGCTCAGGTCACGATCTCACAGTTGGTGGGTTCAAGCCCCACATCAGGCTCTGTGCTGACAGCTCAGAGCCTGGGGCCTGCTTTGGATTCTGTGTTTTCCTCTCTCTTTGTCCCTCCCCCACTTGAGGTCTGCTTCTCTCTCTCTCTCTCTCAAAAGTAAAAAAAATTAAAAAAATTAAAAAATATAAATTTCATATAAACAGTTTAATTATATACCTTTGTAAACTTTATTCTAAAAAGAAAAAGGTGAAGCAAATATTTGCTTTGAAGTTTGAAAAAGGACAAGAAACTTAAAAATACTATTAACAGCAGAAATTTGAAAAGAGTTAAAGGGAAAAATAAAAACAAAGTGTGATTCCTGGCAATGATGTACATTGCCTTTGGTAAGGAAGAGTCAGAAAAAAATAAAAGAACCCCTCCCCTCAAATATACTATATTAGGAAGGAGAAAATAGATATGGCTTACAATTATAGAAGAGAATAAAATAATCACATTCAGCTTTATGTCAATGACTGGAAATCAGAATTTTTTTCTCATAAATTATATTTTATAGCAACTTTATTTTCAATTTCTTTTCCTTTCTTTCTTTCTCTTTTATTATTTATTTTATTTTATTTTTATTTATTTCTGAGAGAGAGAGAGGCAGCGTAAACAGGAGAGGGTCAGAGAGAGAGGGAGACACAGAATCTGAAGTAGGCTCCAGGCTCCAAGCTAGCTGTCATCACAGAGCCCGACGTGGGGCCCGATCCCACAAACCGTGAGATCATGACCTGAGCTGAAGTCGGGCGCTTAACCGACTGAGCCACGCAGGCACCCCTCTTTTTTTTTTTTTTGAGAGAGAGAGAGGGACAGAGCAAATTGGGAGAAGATCAAGGGAGAGGGAGGTAATCTCAAGCAGGTTCCACTTTCAGCATGGAGCCCAAGGCAGAGCTTGATCTCAAGACAGAGAGATCATGACTTGAGCCAAAATCAAGAGTCAGATGCTTAACTGACTGAGCCACCCAAGCGCTCTGCACTTTTTTTTTTTTAAGAAAAAAGATATTTTAAAAATTCCAGTCAGTTAACATGCAGTGTAATATTAGTTTTAGTTATACAATATAGTGGTTCACCACTTTTATACAACATCCAGTGCTCACCACAACTGCACTCCTTAATCCACATCACCTGTTTAACCCATTCCCCATCTACCTCCCCTCCAGTGCCCTTAGTTTGTTATTTATAGGTAAGAGTCTGCTTCTTGGTTTGTCTCTTTTTTTCCTTTGTTCATCCCTGTAGTTTACTAAATTCCACATATGTGTGAAATCACACAGTATTTGTTTACCCTGTCTTATTTTGTTTAGCATAATACCCACCAGCTCCATCCATATTGCAAATGGCAAGATTTCACTTTTTATGTATGCATAATATTCCATTATGTGTGTGTATCTATATGTATATGTATATCTACATACATACCACATCCTTTTATCCATTCAACATTTGAAGGACATTTGAGCTGCTTCCATAATTTGGCTCTTGTAGATAATGCTACTATAAACATTGGGGTGCATGTATCCCTTTGAATTAGTATTTTTGTATTCTTTGAGCACATACCTAGTGGTACAATTATGGGATTATAGGGTAGTTCTATTTTTAACTTCCTAAAAAACTTCCATACGGTTTTCCAGAGAGTTTGCATTCCCACCAACAGTGCAAGAGGGTTCCCCTTTCTCCATATCTTTGCCAACACCTGTTGTTTCTTGTGTTGTTCATTTTAGCCATTCTGACAGATGTGAGGTGCTATCTCATTGTAGTTTTGATTTGTATTTTCCTGATGATCAGTGATGATGAGCATCTTTTCATGCGTCTGCTAGCCATCTGGATGTCCTCTTTGGGAAAATGTCTACTCATGTCTTCTCATTTTTTAATTGGATCATTTTTTTTTTTGGTGTTGAGTTTGTTAAGTTCTTTATAGATTTTGGATACTAACCCTTTATGTCAGATATGTCAATTGCAAATATCTTCTCCCATTCCATAGGTTGCCTTTTAGTTTTGTTGTTTCCTTCTCTGTGCAGAAGCATTTTATTTTGATGAAGTCCCAAGAGTTTACTTTTGCCTTTGTTCCCTGTGCCTCAGGAGACATATCTAGAAGGAAGTTGTTATGACCAATGTCAAAGAGATTACTGCCTGTGTTCTCCCCTAGGATTTTTATGGTTTCAGGCCTCACATTTAGGTCTTTAATCCATTTTGAATTTACTTTTGTGTATGGTGTAAAAAAGTGGTCCAGTTACATTCTTTTCCATGTTGCTGTCCAGTTTTCCCAATGTCATTTGTTGAAGAGACTGTCTTTTTCCCATTGGATATTCTTTCCTGCTTTGTTCAAGATTAATTGACCACATAGTTGTGAGTTCAGAATAAATAATTTTTTTAAGAAAATATAAATTACCATTCCTATTATGTAGACTGAACCATGGAAAGAATAGACCCATAACTGAAGAAATTGTTAAAAATCTCCCTGGAAAAATTTGACAAGTTTAGACAACTTCACAAGTTTAGCTCCCTCAAGAATCAAATAATTCCCATGCTACTTAAAAAATTTCAGAGTTCTCATTTTCAAATGGCCAGTGAGCACACACACTTGCATCTTCCCTTTCCTCAAGTCCCTTTCAAATGTCATCAAAGGTATGCAAAAAAGTATAAATCCATAGCAACATGGAGAATGGAAGTGGAGGAAATAAAGGGAGCCAGATAACTTGAAATTTTGATGACTTTTTGTAAGAAGGAAAGATGAATGGGTGATGGTGGTGGATAAACCAGAGAAGAAAAAAATTGTGGCCCTAAGAGACAAAATCTCAGAAGCTTTAAATGAAATTTTGCTATTGTGGTCTTGGGAAAAAGTATTTAGGGTATTTAATAAAAGAGTTGTACAGCTTTATTTCTATCTTATACTAGCCGTATTAAGCCTCTATTCTGTTCTTTAAACACATATGGTTTGTCTCTAATTTGAAGCATTTGTTCTTGTTCTTCCATCAGTCTGAAATATCATTCACCCAGCTCTTCACTTGCTAGTTCAATCTCATTCTTTTTTAAAAAATATGATTTATTGTCAAATTGGTTTCCATATGACACCCAGTGCTCTTCCCAAAAAGTGCCCTCCTCAATGTCCATCACCCTCAATCTCATATTTTTAGTCATCAGATCCAATACCACTCTGCAGAGATGTCCTCTATATATGTTCTGTTGGAAGCGGGGCTAAGTTATTCTATCTTATTATCTCACTTATCCTGCTTATTGCTTTATTTCCAAATGCAACTATTGTGTTTAATTTTTTTCACCTGTCCCAACCCTTGTACTATAAGCCCTATGAAACCAGGGACTTGTCTGTCTTCTTCAGTATTATATCAGTATAGAAAGTACAGGAAAAAGGAAGCATTCAAGAAAGAAAATAAAGAAGAGATGGAGGAAAAGTGATAAATGAAATTATAGGTTGTTTCCTAGAACTAAATGAGGGCTAGAGACTTTGGGTTGAAATTGCCATCAAGTGATAAGCAGAATTAAGGGTGGGGGAAATCCATCCCTGGATAGTTCATGGTAAAATTTCACAACACCAAAAGATAATGATTTTCTGAAGGTAGAAGTTTTCAGAGAAAACTTCTTTCTGCAAAGAAAATAAAATCAGATTGACTAATCCGAGTCTTTTTAAGTAATATGGTTTAACATCAGAAAATCAATTAACTTAATACACCATATTAAAAGAATAAAGGACAAAACCCCCATATGATACTCAAAGACACAGATAAAGCACTTGATCCCATTCATGAAAAAAACTTGTAACTAGAAATAGAATGAACCTCCCTCAGACTGATAGAGAATCTATGAAAAACTTAACAGCTAAAAAATCATACTTAATGGTGAATGACTGGATTACCTTCCAGTTAAGACTTGGAACAGGCAAGGATGTTTACTCCCATCACTAATATTCAACATTGTACTGGAAGTTCTAGTCAGTAAAATGAAGATATAGAAAATAAAAAATTAAAGAAGCCTTGACTTTGAGAGAAAAAAGTAAGGGTATTTACAAATAACATAATCCTCCATAAAAATATATCTTAAGTAATCCACAAGAAACTACCAGAACTAATAAATGAGCTAATTAAGTGCACAGGATTTAAGACCAAAAAGTCAGAGTATTTTGAATATAAACAAAAAAGTCATTTGGATTTCTATGTACTAGCAGTGAGTAGAAGATAAAATTAAGAAAACAATTTCAAGATTTCTTTGACTATTTGGCATCTTTGGTGCATCCATACAAATTTTAGGATTATTTGTTCTGTGAAAAATGCTGGTGGTATTTTGATAGGAATTGTATTAAATGTGTAGACTGCTTTGGATAGTATGGACATTTTAACAATATTGTTCTTCCAATCTATGAGCATGGAATGTCTTTCCATTTCTTTGTGTCATCTTCAATTTCTTTCATCAGTGTTTTATAGCTTTCAGAGTACAGGTCTTTCACCTCTTTGGTTAGGTTTATGCCTAGTTATCTTATTGTTTTTTTCCCAATTGTAAATTGGATTCATTCCTTAATTCTTCTTTCTGCTGTTTCATTATCAGTGTATAGAAATCAAACAAATTTCTGTTATGTTGATTATGTATCCTGTAACTTTAATGAATTCATATAAAAGTTCTAGCAGTTTTTTGATGGTCTTTTGGGGTTTTCAATTTGGAGTATCATGTAATCTGCAAATAGCAAAAGTTTTACTTTGCAGATTTGGATGCCTTTTATTTCTTTTTGTTATCTGATTGCTGATGCTAGGACTTCTAGTTATATAAAAACTCTATAAAAATTCAACTTCTGTGTTGAATAAAAATGCAAGAGTGGACATCTTTGTCTTCTTCCTGACCATCCTCGTCTTCCTGATCATATTTTATTTTACTGACTATAACTTCCAGTTTTTCCACATTGAGAATGATAGTAGCTGTGGGTTTTTTATCTATGGGCTTTATTATGTTGAGATATGTTGTCTTTAACTCTACTTTGTTGAGGTTTTTATCAAGAATGGATGTTGTACTTTGTCAAATGCCTTTTCTGCATCTACTTAAATGATCATATGATTCTTATCCTTTTTTTTATTAATGTGGTGTATCATGTTTCTTGATTTTTGAATATTGAACCATATTTGAAACCCAGGAATAAATCCTACTTGATCATGGTGAATGATTTTCGCCCCACTTTTGAAAAAGATGTTTATTTATTTTGTGTGTGAGAGAGAAAGAGGGTGAAGGGGCAGAGAGAGAGGGAGGGAGAGAATCCCAACCAGGCTCTGAGTTGTCTGTGCAGCATTTGACGTGGGGCTCAGTCTCATGAACCATGAGATCATGACCTGAGCAGAAATCAAGAGTTGGACACTTAACCAACTGAGCCACCCAGAGTGACTTCCCTGAGTTTTTATTAAATTCCAGCTAGTTAACATACAGTGCAATTGCACTATTAGGTATTTACCCAAAATACTGATCTGAAGGGATATGTGCACTTCAATGTTTACAGCAGCATTATCAACAACAGCCAAATTATGGAAAGAACCCAAATGTCCACTGAGTGATGAATGGGTAAAGATGTGGTATGTATATACAATGGAATATTGCTTGCCATAAAAAGTAATGAAGTTTTGCCATTGGCAACAACGTGGATAGAACTAGAGAGTCTCATGTCAAGTGAAATAAGTCAATCAGTGAAAGACAAGTACCATATGATTTCACACATACATGGAGTTTAAGAAACAAAACAGATGAACATATGAGGGGACAAAGAGAGAGAAGCAAACCATAAAACAGACTGTTAACTATAGAGAACAAATTGATGGTTACCAGAGGGGAGGTGAGTGGGGGCATGGGTGAAATAGGTGATGGGGATTAGCAATGCACTTGTTGTGATGAGCACCAGGTGTTGTATGGAAGTGTTCAATCACTAAATTCTATTCCTGAAACTAATATTACACTGTATGTTAACTAACTAGAATTTTAATAAAAACTTGAAAAAGAAAAAACATTATTGTAAATGAAAGAATGTGGATAAAAGTTGATTCTATTTATATGAAATAAACAGAAATATCTGTTAATAGGATGCCTCTCGGCTGGATAGGGTAATGAAGATTAATGGCAAACAGCCTGAGGATTCTTTTCTCAAGTGATGGAAATAATCTAACATTGGTTTGTGGTAATAATTGCACAACTATATGTTTCCTAAAATTACTAAGTAAAATAAATAAATAAATTAAAACTGGTGACTATGGTATGTAAATGATAATTTTAAAAGGAAGAGAGAGGAATTTATGGTCAAAATATGATACAAACTAAAAGGTGACATAATTTTTCTTATTCAGGGATTGTATGAAAATATAATCCGTTTGATCTTAATAATTATATTTCAACCCATACCGATTTAGTGACATATGATTACATTTTTTCTTTCTGTGGCTACACATAAACTATTTCATTCCAGAATTACACACACACACACATACACACACACAGAGTAAATATGCTGGTTATTTCTCAACTAAAAAAATCAATTTGAAATATGAAGTCAGCCTAAAATATGGAAAATTTACTAGAATGCTTTTATTTTTTCCAGATTTTGATCTGGCTGTGAATTTACCTTTCTTTATTTGTGTGACACGTAGAGCTTAGTGTCCCAGAGAACTTATTTAATGTTGAGTTTAAGTAAGAAGCTCAGTTTCCTCATTTATAAAATTGAGACAATAGTTAACTTGTAGGTGTTGTAAAGATTTAAAATAAATCTCTATGTATGTAAAGCTACTTTTACATAGTACGTGGGTTAGTAGTAGTAATTCATTCTAAATCTGGTGGTGACTTCACAAAATTTGTCTCGGATTTTATTTTGAGGCTTCTTTTTCTTCCCTCCAGTCTGTGAAAATAACTTTGGTACAGAAAAGCACTCAAAACAGCAAACCTGACTTTCTCCATTGGAGGAAGGGACAAGTTCATCTTCCACAATATAATCTTAAATGTGGACACCTAGAAAAGAATAGATTGGTTTTAAGGACCTAGGGAACCCCAGATACTCACGTGGTTTACTGCAGTTCACGTATATATTTTGAACTCGACTGGTACACCACTTTTTCACCTCATAGTTATCAAAGAATCTGCTGATACTCATTGCAAAGTTGAAACCAGGAAGCATTATTAATATACTATCTATGAGGGTTTTGGTGTAGTGAGCAAAATCCTTTTCTATGATTAAAAAGATGATTAGATATAATCATAAGAAAATAATGAATGTCCCATAACAACAAACTTCCCCTAAATGATTAAACCATTCATATGGTAAACCAAAGAATTACCAATCTAACAGATTATCATTGAGAAAACACTAGGTATTAAGTCACTAAACTTGTTCATAGATTTGTCAATTACAGAGTTCAATAGGAAGATTTTGCTAACAGTATTTCTCTGGGATCTGTTTTCTTTCCTCTTTATGTGTGGGTCTGCTATTAAAATCCCCATATCTTACCCCTATATCTTTCTACTCTTCTCTGTTTCCCATATATGATACAAAATGGAAAATCATGGGATTATAAATTCTAAAATTTCTTGCTAGCCCAATGAGCTATTTGAAAAGTTTAGTTTTTAATCCCTGACGTCTACAGTGGTATTATCAACAATAGCCAAATTTTGGAAAGGGCCTAAATGTCCATCAATTGATGAATGTATAAAGAAGATATGAGATAAACACATACCCATACACACAATGGAAGATCATTCATCAAAAAAGAATGAAATCTTGGGGCACCTGGGTGGCTCAGTTGGTTAAGTGTCCAACTCTAGGTTTCGGCTCAGGTCACGATTTCACAGTTCATGAGTTCAAGACCTGCATCAGGCTCTGTGCTGACAGTGTGGAACCTGCTTGGGATTTTCTGTCTCCCTGTTTCTCTGCCCCTCCCTTGCTTGCTCTCTCTGTCTCTCTCAAAATAAGTGAATAAACTTAAACAAATAAAATCTTGCTATTTGCCATAACATGGATGGAGCTAGAGAGTATTATGTTAAGTGAAACAAGTCATTCAGAGAAAGACAAATACCCTATGATTTCACTCATGTGTGGGATTTAAGAAAAAACAGATGAACATGGTTGGGGGGGAGAGAGAGGCAAACCGGGAAACAGACTTTTAACTACAGGGAACAAACAGAGGGTTGCTGGATGGAAGGTAGGTGGAGGATGGGCTAAAAGGGTGATGGGTATTATGGAGGGCACTTGTTGTGATGAGTACTGAGGTACTGTATGTAAGAGATGAATCACTAAATTCTATACCTGAAACAAACCAAAAGAGAATTGTTTGCAAAAAACTCCCAGTTTTAAATCTAGTGTTTGTTGTTATTTTAAGTGGGAGTTCAATTCACTATTTTCTTTTCTTTTTAAGTAGGTTCCACTCCCAGTGGCCTGGCATGGAGCCAGATGCAGGGCTTGAACTCACGACTCTCAGATGAAGGTTTGAGCTAGATCAACAGTCTGGTTTTTGACCTACTGAGCCACCCAGGCACTCCCAACTCACCATTTTCATTCCTTCATCCTCTGAACATGGAAATCTACACTGAAATTCTACTTGCCAAATCCAATAGCCTGTGTGACATTTCTTCTATTTGTCCCTTCAAATCAATACTCCACCCTTCTCCATTACATTTTGTGTCCTGGGAGGATTATGTGTATACACTAAATGAAGGGACTTCTTTACTTGCTGGCTTCTGGTTGGTCTAGGCTCATGCGAAACCCTGGCTGGGAAGAGGGATGTTTCACTAGTAGGTTCACTTTGTGAAAATTTATCAAGCTGTGTGCCTTTATGGTCTCTGGGCTTTTCTTTTTCCAAGTTATACTTCAGTAAAAGAGCTCTGTTTGACTGTCATCTATAGAGTGAAGACCATGGTAAGGTTTGTTGCAATGGAATTTAATTCCTTGATATCAGCAGGAATAATAGGAACCTAGAAAGTAGAAGCCAGGTGGCACAACTTAACTATTAGAAACAAGGTGGGAAACATTACCACAACAAGAAACAGGGACAGAATGCTAGTCAGATTTTTTTTTTTTCAACCACAGAAATGGATTTTCTAAACACAGGGTCTCTTGCAGATAGATTTTATCTTAATCCAAGAAGAAAATCAACAGATCCATTAAACCACACTCCAAGAGAAGAGTCATCATTATTAGATGCTGGAATTCAGAAAGCCCATAGTATCTGGGTTTTAGATAAAGCAAAATCAAGGTTGCTACTTTAGTATGCCCCAGGTGGTAGATAGTGCTGATTCCTCTAGATTAAGATAATACACCATGGCCAGACAATAAAGTCTCAGAAATGAATATAATAATTCATTTAATGGACATTAAATTTATATAATGGACATTCTACTCCACTCTTACCTTCTGTTAGGAGAATCTGAGGAATTTATAATCTGGCTGTCTATAGGGAAGAGGATTCATTGAGGGAGAAGGGATGGACAGCCTGCTATGAGAAATATCCTTCAGTTCTACCTGGGGTCAAGTAAAATAAGTGGATGTTGGTGAAAGGGTCCTAAGGTTTTAAGTTACTAGCAGAGGAAAATTTTACAAAAGAAATATACACAAGGCAGAATGGGTAACATGAACAATTAATAAGGCAGACCACTGGTAGAATCTATATGTAATATAAAAGTGATTGACAACAGTATCATTATTTTAGAGAATGAGCAAGAATGCATAACTCCTACTTGATTTTTAGCCTACTATTCAGGGGCTCAAGTCTTCCCCACATAGCATGATACTACTCCTTGGGGAGGTGTACAAAAGAATAAAAAAGCTATGCCTGGTTCACACACTCGGTTTCATTTTGTGGAAGGCCAAGGCATAACATTTGGGAATGAATCTGGAAGCCTCTTTTAGTAGGGTTCTGCCACTTAAAGCAGGGTTGAGTAGATGAATACACTTCAAAATTCATGTTTATAGAGAAATTTAAAAAGGAATGTTATAAAAACAAATAAATAAATCCTATTTGTGATCATCACCAGCAGAGTCCACCTTTGCTTAAATTTCATAATCAGAGAAGGAAAATGGGAAAATCCAACTCCTGGAATCCTGCTGAAACCTGGCCTGAAAGGTAGGGAAATTTTTAATGACGATTATACAGTAAAACCTTGGATTGCAAGTAACTTATTCTGCGAGTGTTCCACAAGATGAGCAAAGATTTCTAATAAATTTTAACTTGATAAATGAGCGATGTCTTGCAATATGAGTAGTATGTGATGCCAAACATCACATGATCACAACTGAGCCAATAGGTCTTGAAATTCGTTTTGAGGTACAAGTGCTTTGGATTACAAACATGTTTCCAGAACGAATTATGCTCACAAACCAAGGTTTTTCTGTATTTGTTGCACATTTTATTGTTTCCTCCGGAAGAAAATTCTCCTTAGGAGGCTCAAGATGATATGTTTCATTAAATTAGGGAAGACTCATTCCATAAGACCTTCCACTCACCAGTCTCCTCACCTTGCTCCAAAGTGCTAAAGATGGTAAAAACTGAAGAATCATGTCTCAAGGTGGGGGTGGGGAGGATCTCTCAAAAGAAATAAATCTTCTGCACACTTGTAACCTCTTACTCTTCTAACTCTTTCTTCATGAGGCTAGAGTGATACTGAGTCCAGCTCCTTTAAAGGGCTTAAATTTTCTTTTTCTTTCTTCCTTTCTCTTCCCCATTTCCTTTCTCCCTCCTTCTCTCATTCAATCTCTATCTCTCAACATGCCCACTTGATAAATATTTGCTAATTTCCAAAAAGCACAGGTTTTCATATTCTTGGAAAGCAAGTATTTAGCAATTATTATTTTTATCCTCAAGTTCTTTCATTTTCATTTATCTAATGTATTTTGTGGGGAAAGGGAAAATTGTGTGATGTCCTTACCATGGTATTGTCTTATGAAGTATATGCTGAGACTGAAAATAGTTGAAAAGTAGTTAAAGAGGGTGAGCTTGATGTAGGCAGCAGTACTACTAGAAAACAGGAAGCTTCCAAGATACATAAGAGGAACAACAGACCAACCATACAGCAAAAGGATCATCATTGTGTCCAGAAAGTTGTAATTTGTAACAAATGCATCCACTTTGCAGAACGTGAACACTACCTGAGACACAGAGTGCAGAGGTAAGTGCAAGTGAAGGACATTGTGCAAGTCAAGCCAGAACACTTAGAAAACAGCAAGCACTGCCTTCATGAGAGCACAGAACTATTCATTACTTAAATCACTTTAGCCATTAAAAAAAAAAAGCCTTAGCTTGTGAACTTGAAGTAAACTACCTCTTCCCCCAGTACCTCTTGTATAGAAAGGAACTTTACCTCCTTTGTCCATGTGTTTACCCCTGTATCCATGTGTTTACCCCAATTATTTACCTTCACATCTCCCTCACCCTCAAATATCCAACTAAAATAAAATTAAAAAGTTGCAAAGTTCAGTAATGAGCAAAACATCATATTCAAAGATGCTATACCATCCTTGCTTGCTCTGTATACCATACCCTCGATGTCTAAGATTGAGTGCCTGAGTAAATACTAGTTCTGTTTGCAGACTCAGCCAGCTTGAATTTGGAGTATGAAAGTGGTGGAGTGGGAGTGGGGGAGGGTGCTGGTGGTGAATAGTGACAGGAAGCCTGACTTAATTCACAATTCTAAACTGTGTACTGAACTGAGGTACCACCTCATGCCAGTCAGAGTGGCTAAAATGAACAAATCAGGAGACTCTAGATGCTTGCGAGAATGTGGAGAAAAGGGCACCCTCCTACACTGTTGGTGGGAATGTAAGCTGGTGTAACCCCTCTGGAAAACAGTATGGAGGTTCCTCAAATAATTAACAATAGAACTCCCCTATGACCCATCACTAGCACTGCTAGGAATTTACTCAAGGGATACAGGAGTGCTGATCCATAGGGGCACATGTACCCCAATGTTCATAGCAGCACTCTCAACAATAGCCAAAATTTGGAAAGATCCTAAGTGTCCATCAACTGATTAATGGATCATGAATATGTGGTTTATTTATACTATGGAATACTACATGGCAATGAGAAAGAATGAAATCTGGCCATTTGTAGCAACATGGATGGAACTAGAGGGTGTTATGCTGAGCGAAATAAGTCAGGCAGAGAATGACAAATACCATATGTTTGCACATATAGGTGGATTAGGAGGAAGTTAACAGGGGACGAAGCGAGAGAAGAAGGGGAAAAATAGTTGGGGAGAGGGAGGGAGGCAAACCATGAGAAACTCTTGATTGCTGAGAACAAAATGAGGGCTGATGGGGGTGGGGAGAGAGGAAGGGGGGTGATGGGCATGGAGGAGGGCACTTGTGGGGATGAGCACTGGGTATTATATGTAAACCAAGTTGACAAAGTTAAACTATAAAAAAAAAGAAAAAAAAAGAAACTGTGTACTGCAGCCCCATTTTACCAGAGGGCTCTGCACTGGGAATTAGAGAGATGTGACTTATCTATATGAGTAGTGAGGGACAAGTGACAAATAATAGCCCTTATTTTTTTAGAGTAGTTTTTGGGCCAGGGAATAATGCCCAGCAATTACATGGGAAGCCAATTCAAGAGAAACTTTTCAAAGAAATATGTTTTCTCCAATTGAAAAAATATGACGGAGAACATTTCCATAATGAGATTTCCACAATGTATACTCTGGCATAATAAGCCAAAGTAGTTTCACATTTCTTTGCAAGTTTCATTTTAGGAAACAAATAGTTGAATAGATATTTCCTATGGGTGACATAGGACAATAAGCCTTCATACAATGTCAGTAACACTCACCAGGAGTAAGCAGCAGAGAATGGAGAAGTAGATGAGATCCCACAGAAGAGCAGAGAGCCAGTAAGTAAGTACAGAGACCCCACTCACAAACTGGATGTGCTTTGCCTTCGTGGTTCTCTCAGTCACTGTCTGAAGGCAAAAGCTACCGACCACAAGTGCCATGCCAAAAGCCAAACATATTACAATTTGTAATCCATTTGTAGGTCTACAGAGAATGAAATAAATGATAGAAATTATGAATAATAAGTAGAAAGCAATGATTTCAGTAGCTATATTCAAATGTATATGGCCAGATAGCAAGGGCTATATTAAGGCTCAATTCCTATAAAAGGAAAGTCACACATACTTTACGTTGGAACCATGAAGAGCGACAGGTTGAGGCTTGTTGGAGACTTTGATTGAAGCATTGGGACCAGAAAGTGACATAAAAAGAATGTTGTCTAACACCGCCAGTGATATTGCAGCTGAATGGTATGCCTCATTATTGAACAAAATAGTAAATACTGTTTTGTTTTTCTCAACCTCAATGGAAACTGCAATAATGGAGAACTCATGAAATCCTTTATTTTCCATTATATGTTTTGTTACCTTACCTAAAATGAAGAAAGAAATTGATCAGTGAGTCAACATCCAATAAATCACCTACTATTGATATTGAAGAGGAAAGACATTTTTCCCCCTTTTTTCTCTCCCAACCTCCCACAATGGCTATTTCAAATCTTTATGTTTCTCTTCAAGAATTCTACTTTATCACTAATCTCGACAATAATCTCACCATAGAGTCTACAACTTGAAAACACAGTGACTTTCAAAATTATTTTGGTTATTCTAGGTCATTTGCATTTTCATATACATTTTGGATTTCCTTGCCATTTCTGCAAAAAGTCTTGTGGTATTTTGATAAGAATTGCATTGAGTCTCTTGAATGCTGACAAAAACTGAGGACTGATGGATGTGGGAGGGAGGGGGGGATGGGCATAGAGGAGGACACTTATGGGGATGAGCACTGAGTGTTATGTGGAAACTAATTTGACAACAAACTATTTGTAAAAAAAATAAAAATAAAATAAAATAAAATAAATATTAGGACTCAAAAAAAAAAAAAAGAATTGCATTGAGTCGATAGATAACTTTGAAGAGACTTTCTATCCTAACAATATTCAGGCTTTCAATCTGTGACATGAAATATCTCTCCAAGTATCTAGAACTTAAATTCCCTTATATTTTATAATTTTCAGTGCACAAGTCCTGTACTTATTTTCTTAAATTTATTTTTAAGTATTTTATTGTTTTTGATACAATTGTGAGTTTTGGTAATTTGTGTTTTCTCCCCATAGGAATGGGGTAACTTCACCTAAGTTGAGAGTTAAAAAATTTCAGTCTGGGGCGCCTGGGTGGCTCAGTCGGCTGAGCAACCGACTTCGGCTCAGGTCATGATTTCACGGTTAGTGGGTTCGAGCCCCGTGTCGGGCTCTGTGGTGACAGCTAGCTCAGAGCCTGGAGCCTGCTTCAGATTCTGTGTGTGTCTCTCTCTCTGACCCTCCCCTGCTCACGCTGTCTCTCTCTCTCTCTCTCATATATAAAACATTAAAAAAAATTTTTTTAAAATTTCAGTCTGAAAAACTCTGACTTTTTCATTGGAGTGTTTACTCCATTTACATTTACTGTAGTTATTGATATGCTATGATTCATATCTTCCATTTTTCTATTTCTTTTCTATGTCTTATCTCTTTGTTCCCGTTTCCCTACTATTGCTACTTTATGTCAAACACATATATATATTTTTTACTATGCCAATTAAGTTCCTTTGTTGTTGCTGTTGTCGTACTGTTTTTATTTATTATTTTGAGAGAGAGAAGGCAAGTGGGGAAGAGGAAGAGAAAGGGGCAGAGAGAACCTCAAACAGGCTCTGCACTTTGATGCAGAACCTGATGTGGGGACTGAACTCACGAACCATGAGATCATAGCCTGAAGTCAGATGCCCAACCAACTGAGCCACTCAGGCACCCCAGTTTTACTGTTTTTTTTTTTTTAAGTTTATTTTCTCAGTGGTTGCTCTAGGGATAGCAGTATGAATCCTGATTTAATTAGTTCAGATAAATACCAACGTGTTCTGATAGTGTACAGAGATTTTGCTCCAATATCGTTCCCTTTCCTCCTCCCTTTACTGTGCTATTATCACAGTATAAAATACACTTTTATACATTATAAACCCCTTCACACATTATTGTAGCTATTTTTTGTCTGAAAAACTCTTTATTCCTACTTCAATTTATAACTATTTTTATGCAATTATATTTTAAATAATTTAGAAAAAAAGAGTTTATACACCTATACTATTTATATTTACCTAGGTAAATCTTAGCTAGTGCTCTTATTTCTTTGTATGGATCAGAGTTACTGTCTAGTGTTCTTTTATTACAGCCTGAAGAATTCCTTTATCACTTTATAGGGAATGTCTATTGGTGATGAACTCTCTTGGTCTTTACCTTGGAATGTCAGTATTTCTTCTTCATTTTGAGGGAGAAATGTACTGTTTATAATATTCTTGACTGACAATTCTTTCTTTCAGCACTTTTTTTGTAATCCCACTTTCTTCTGGTTTCCATGTTTTCTGACAAAAGTCAGCTATTAATCTTATTGATAATTCCCTAATAAGTCATATCTCTCTTCTGCTTTCAAGATTTTCTTTCTTCTTCTTCTTCTCCTTCTTCTTCCTTCTTCTTCCTTCTTCTTCCTTCTTCTCCTTCTCCTTCTTCTTCTTCTTTAGACTGCACACCCAGTGTGGAGCCCAGTGCAGGGCCTGAACTCACAACCCTGAGATCAAGACCTGAATTGAGATCAAGAGTCAGACACTTAACCAACTGAACCACCCAGGCACTCTTTTTCTTTGACTTTCATTAGTTTGATTATGATGTGTCTAGGTATAAATATCTTTGAGTTAATCATATTTAACACTTATTGAGCTTGTATGTAAAGATTAACATTTTTGTCAAATCTGAGAAGTTATCAGTCATTATCTCTTCAAATTATTTTTCTGCCCCTTTATCAGTCTCCTCACCTCTGGTACTCTCATTATGTATATGTTGGCATGCTTGCTGTTGTTCCATATATAGCAGAAATTCTGTTTTCCTCCCATTTTTCTTCTTTCTGTTTCACAGACTAGATGCTCTTTACTGACCTACTTTCAATGTAGCTGATTCATTCTTCTGGCAATTCCAATCTTTTGTTGTACCTCTCTGGTAAACTTTTAAGTTCAGTCATGTTTTTCTTTTCCTAAGTTTTTTATTTTTTAAGCTTTAGTTTTTAACTCCAGTTAGTTAACATACAGTGTAATATTGGTTTAAAATTTACAATAGTAAGTCAAAACTTCTGTACACCACCCAGTGCTAATCATGGTAAGTGTATTCCTTAAGCCCCATCACCTTATTAACCCATCCCCCATACCCACCTCTCTAGTAACCATCATTTTGTTCTCTATAATTGAGAGTCTGCTTCTTAATTTGTCTCTTATTTTTTTTCCTTTTCTTTGTTTTGTTTCTTCAGTTCCACATGAGTGAAATCATATGGTATTTGTCTTTTATTTCTTTTCATTGTCTGACTGCCATGGCTAGGATTTCCAGTACTATGTTGAAAGATCATTGTTCCTGATCTTAGGGGGAAAGCTTTCAGTTTTCTCTTCTGACCATGATGTTAGCTGTGAATTTTTCATATATGGTCTTTATTATGTTGAGGAATGCTCTCTCTAAATTTAATTTGTTGAGGATTTTTATTATGAATGGATGTTGTACTTTGTCAAATGCTTTTTCTTCCCCTATTGAAATGATCATATGGTTCTTATCCTTTCTCCTGCTGATGTGATGTATCACATCGTTGATTTGTGAATATTAAACCACGCTTACAACCCAGAAATAAATCCTACTTGCTTGTGGTGAATAATTTTTTTTTCTATATTGTTGGATTTTATTTGCTAGTTGTTGAGGATTTTTGCATCTGTATTAATCAGTGATACTGGCCCGTGGTTCTCATTTTTAGTGGTGTCTTTATCTAGTTTTGGTAGCAGTATAACGCTGGGGTCATAAAATGAATTTGAAGTTTTCCTTCTTTTTCTAGCTTTTGGAATAGTTTGAGAGTAGGCATTAGCTTTTTTTAAATGTATGTGAATTGCTGTGGGATTTTTATTGGAAGAGGTAAAAGTACTTAGTAACGTGGGCTAACAATTGGGCTGAATACCCCTCCCTCCCAAACATGTTCACTGTCCAAAACTTAAAATAATGAACTATGGAGAGAACAGTTGAGATCGTGATTGAAGGTTATGGGAAGGAAATATGGAACATATGTCAGCAGTGAATAGACCAAGCCCACACTGAGAGGACCAGGAAACAGAGGTTGCGCAAAGAATGTGAGCACACATCTCTGAATCATCCATGGATAAATGTGTATAAATATACACATTTGTGTTTCTTTTCATCTCTCCATTTTGCTCCATTCTTCTCATCACCATTCTAGTTTCTCTTTCCATAGGAGGGAAAAGAGAAGGGAGTTAAACAATCATCAAATTGTGACCAGACCCACAAGCATTAGGTTCTCAATTTTCTGAGCTAATACCGGACCCTTTTAAGTATTCACCTGAGCGCCTAAGAGTCCTTCTGCATTTGTTCTGGGATGTGCCATATGACTAGATTACTCATTACACTTCAGGTCAACTATGTTCTTTCAACTTACAGCCTCAAGACTGTCAAGTCAATTGAACTGGACCATTATATGGCATTGATAACCACCTACTACTTTAACAGATCTGGAGCTTCTGTTAGACATCATTGGCTTTTGTGTTGCCCCTCATGAAAGCTTCTAGGCTTTTGTGTTGTCCCTCATGAAAGCTGCTTTCCAAGTGTAATCATTGATGAGGTTTGTTCTAGCTGGATATTTTTCTCCTAGACTTTGAGCTCCAACTGTACACTTTTGACATGGTTGCTATGAAATTTGGCATTCTGTAGATGTCATCTGATGACTTCTGTAATAAAGCGTGAATGGCTTGGACATAGTCCCTTTTCTGAAAACACTCACGGTCTTTGTTCTTCTTTTCCAAAATCAGGTCAGTGTTTACATAGACCAACTGATTTGCTCCTTACAGAGCTTCTCTGACTCTTGATAATTCTTGGGTACTTTTGGGGTTTAGTGATCTGTGTGACCAGAAATCATTTTTAATTTTCTATGTACAGCAAGCTTAGTGAGTGTTATTTCGCCAACAAGTCATGTATCCAGTTACACCTGTCAACTGTTGACTAGATTTGAGAAGTTCACAGCTAAAGATTTCTCTCACTGAACAAAATAAATTAATTTCTTTCTGTTACTTCATTATTAATTTATATAAATACAACAGATTTCTGTACATTGATTTTGTATCCTGCAACTTTACTGACTGTGCATTAGATCTGTGCAGATTTGTGCAGTTTTCTTCTATAGTCTTTCAGGTTTTCTATATATAGTATCAAGTCATCTGCCAATAGTGAAAGTTTCACTCCTTTCTTACTGATTTGGATGGTTTTTATTTCTTTTCGTTGTCTGAATGCTGCAACTAGGACTTCCAGTA